GTGTGTATGTATGTGTGCGCTCACAAGTGTCGATGGCTGCATTATTTGCTTTCGTTGATTTGCGAAACAAAGCGGAGTTTGACGCTGCTTATTGTTGTTGTAGACGGAAAATTGTTGTTGTTGCTGTTCCACAATACACTCGTACAAAAGCATTGCATGCAATTTCCGCAATTTATTGCAGTTACAATGTATGCTGACAATGTTGCAAGTTCGCTGTTTTTCGTTTTGAAAATACACACACACACATTGAAAAAATCAATTAAGTGAAATTAATAAAAAGTGATTAACTTGTGATTGTATAAAAATTTTTCACTGTCATATGTCAGCATTAAATATGCATATTGCTGGCGTGGTTGGCTCTGCCTCCGATTGTGGACAACGATATGTCGAAACACTTGCACACACATACACATATGCATATGTACCTAGCCATACATACCTATATTTATTATAGTCCTAAAAAGCGCACAACACACTTGCTGCCACCACATACAACAGCGTATTGTGGGGCGCACCTGAGCAGCCTTCACGTAATCTCCACAAATTATTAATAATAATTTAATTATGACAAGCGGCGGCGGCCCGTTGCTGGCGAATTGTAAATTAATACGCAAAAGAGTTGCGTGCAAATAAATAAATTGCCCGAAAAATAAGAGAAAACAGTGAAATCTCAAAGATCGCTTACAAAAGCAATGAAAGACAGCGAAAATCGCAGTGGAGCAGTAAACAAATGCACAAACACTCGCGGTTGTGTGCACGCAAAGGGTTCGAGGACTAAGCAGCAGCCGGGTCAAGCGGCACAGTGGGTTGCCACAGATGAAAAACAGCAAATCGTTCACTCAATAATTCTCCATTGTTATAAGCTACTTTTTAGGACTCTCAAAGCTTTTGGGGTAAGCACACAGTCTAGTAAAAATAAAGCTTTTTATATCCAGCTTTTTGCATGATATTAATACACACAGGAAAAGGTAGTATCAGTGTGCACTCGGTGCCAGGTCTGGTCTATAAGCTGGAAACATAAAAACTTCTCAACCAAGCTCCCGGAGCTTATGGAAAATTACTATCGATGTGTGTGGCTTGCCATTGTCCTCATGGAATAGAATTTCTCATCTATTGGCCTAAGCTGGCCGATTACTTTCTTCATCCGGGGTAATCATTAGTACAGATTCGAATTAAGAGCTTGACCGTAGCGTAGCCGCTCATAGTAAACGATTACCTGCAAATCCCACCAAACAATTCACCGTTTGTACCGCCGCACGTTGTCAACAGAAAAGATCCGCTTCAGAATCGATGATTCGCAGATGTAAATCCGATCCATAAGATTTGTTGTGTTAATTCGTACACATACATCAATCTTCTTTTTATATCAAGCTTTATTTAAATGGCTCTTTATTTAAGACACTCAATTAATGTTACCTAGCCATTAAGGACGGCGGGATGGCCAATCACTTAAACTAAGAACCGACTAAGTTTATAGAAACCTATCAAAACTACATTTCTTAGAGCCCCACAGTAGTCGAGAAATTCAAAACCACTCCAAAACCAAACTTTTTACAATACATCTGACCTATATGTCGAATCGATAGCGTAATGTGAGCGAATGCGGTTGTTTAAAAACTATGGAGGTGATAGATTAGTGGAATTTAACACTCTATAGAGTTGTTTGAAGTTAACGCTTTTTATGAGAAAGGATATGGGATTATCGATTATTAAAGTGAAAACAATTCACAATTTTTTTTTTTAGTTTAATCGTATTAGTTGTTGTATTAAATAGATAACATTTTGGAAAACGATTACTTGTTAAAAAATTACTGTTAAATAAGACTGAAGCAAAGCATTTCCATCTCAGAATTCAAGTATCTAAATTGCCTAGTTTAAATATTGGATAGACTTATCTTTTTATACATAATCATAATTTATTATTTGTTCTAAAGGTACATATGGAGATATTGGAAACTTTTAAAATTTTCAAAAATTAAAAAAATAAATTTCGACCTAATTTTCTGTCTACCAAAACACTGTTTCTGCAACATTCGCGCTGCTTCAGATCGGTTGATGAGATAGCAGGAAAACGTTAAGGCTACTGGGCAGTGCCGAGGCTTGTGTTTGCGATTTTATTACATGTTCATGCAGTACTTTCGAGCATAACATACGAAGCATAGCGTATATGTTTATATGTATGTACGTGCATATGCATTCAGCAGTCGAATGTGTTACTTAAGCGGATCGTAAACGCCGATAAAATTTAATTCAATATTAATTTGCCGAATATTCTCGCTCGAATGTCAGTAAATACAATTCACCAATTTATGCACAATGATAAGACGTTTTATGGCATTTACGCACATATGTATGTATGTATGTGACTAGTGTACGCCACGTCAAGGGCTTCACATTTCATTTGTGCATATTGCAAGTTTGTTGTTTTGCCACACACGCACACAAGCACGTACATGTGTGCCGTTGTTATTCTTGTAAATTATGTGCACTTTCACCAGCCAACATAATCATAAAAATTCCATGGATATCTTGCAGCCTCGACAATGGTTATCCCAATGGTGCACAGATTGCATGAGAAGCCACACGCACACACATACATATATACAAAGCATACATGCATACTCAATATGAATATATAGTTAAATGCTCACAAGTCGGCCAAGTTATTTCTCATTCTGCATGCTCTTATGATTGCAACTATGCGCATGCGTTTGTGTGCGCATTGTCATATCCTTTTGCCCGTCCACTATATCAACGTAATGATCAAATTAATTGGTTGTGGGTGAAGAGATCATCATTGTCAACGTTTGCAATGTGTCATATATCACGCTGAAGTCGGCAAAAAAGTTTCAAAAAATTTCCAAAAAAAAAAAACTTAAGATAATTTAAAAATTTTTATTCAATAAAATGTAACCAGTGCTCGAAACCATTGAAATTTTTATATATGGCTTTTTTTTAATTTTTGTGCATAACACGCAAGTGTTTGTGTTTATTTTCGTAATGAAAGTGCAACAGCGACAACGGTAACAGCATGTTGCATGAGTTTCACTGAAGGTGCAACCTTCATTGTGTTCGCCACGCTCTTACCTTTAGGACATCTACAGTTTTTTTTTGATGTTTTATATTTTTTATAATTTTTTTTTTTACCGATCACCCACTGTGTGGGCGCTGTAAGGCATCCATAACTGCACAAACGCACTCACCAGCATGACACATGCGTGTTTAAGCTTCCTGTGTCCAACTTTTCGAAATTTTCGGCAAATGTGTTTCGCATGTTTTGGCGCATATTTATGGAACATAATTGCGAGTTAAAGCGGCGATTTAAATTAATTACATTGTATATTGTACGCATGTAAACAGTTTTGTTAATTACAACATTAAAATGCATATTTTAGCTTCATTCGCATTTTTCAACATTCAGTTTAATGTGTCAAGCCATAATTTCGCAGGCGGCGACAGGCTGTGAAAGTCGAAATTTTGCCAAGTGAAGGTGATGTCGAAAGTTATACTTGTAGGCGTTTGCTATGGAGTTTTAGGAAATAGCACTAGACACTTACATATATATACTTATAGATACATTTATTTGAAGGAACGAAAAAGAAATAGAATACAGAAATTAAATGGTTTTGAGAACTTTTGCTGTAAGAATTCTATACAAATTTTAGGCTGACAAATTCTCTTTTTCCTCTTTATTAACTTCTCATTTTCTCAAGAGTTTGTTAAAAACCTTTAGAATAGGCTTGGCAGTCAAATGAAAATGTCAAGTTAAAATATATATAAATCTATATTAACTCTCCTCGATTTGTCAAACACTAGAACGTGGCGAATCGAACACATTACACCAGCTGTTTAAACAGATGGTAGCACTGGAAAAGAACTGTCGAAAATTACATAAATTTGCTCACACTGAATCCATTTTTTGTAAGCACTGAGCTATTTAACAGTTCACAAAATAAATAAAGAAGCCTTATGAAAACGAATATTGAATTAAAACATAAAACAGTTTTTTTACAACAAAAAAAAGCGCAAATGGACAACAACGGGTATATTTATTTAGTAAAGAGGGCTTTCAATTATTAATAATACCTAGTTGCTGTATTTACACTAACAAGAAAAAACGTTAAATTCGCTGTCACCGAAGCTATAATACCCTTCACAAATACAAAAAATGTATGGCATGTATGTATCTCATCAAATGGAAAAGCGTTCCACTCAAACACTTAATTCCTACTGTTCGGTTTGTATGGGAGCTATAAGCTATAGTTACCAGATCTAAACAATTTCTTCGCAGATTGTACCATTGCTTTAAGCAATAACCCATACTAAATTTCTTGGAGCTATTGCGGCAACTAAAAAAGTTTTCCATACAAAAATTTAATTCCATTTGTATGGCAACTATGTATATGCTATAGTGATCTGATTTCGATTTAGACAATTGAGCAGCTTCTTGAGAATAAAAGGACGTGTACAAAATTTCAGATCAACTTTTTTTCTGAAGTGAAAATAGCCCCGAGGACACTTAAACTAATAATCGACTCGACGAGAGATCTATTAGAATTTTATAGAGATCTATCAAAGCAACATTTTTTAGAGCCCAACAGTAGTCGAAAAATTCAAAATCACTCTTAACGAACTTTTTACATCTGACCTATATGTCGAATCGAGAACGTAATGTGAGCGGATGAGGTAGTTTAAAGCCCAAACTTCAAAACAGGTGGAGTTTATGGATTAGTGTAATTCAGCACTCTGTAGAGTTATTTATGTGGTAGCAATCTAGAGAAAACCTGGCTGCTTGATAAAAATCTCTCAAGTTGACGCTTTTTATGTCAAATGATATGTGAATAACGATTTTTAAAGTGAAAAAAAAATAAAAAAATTTTTTATTAGTTTAATCGTATTAGCACATCATAAATTGTATATTATTATCTCAACTAAGCCGAAAGTCGTCATAAATGGGAACATTGAATTGGATCCACATCTGAAAAGGTAAAACAACAATATAGACAAAAAATACCAGAAACGCTGTATTTATTAAATTCGTTGTACAAAAGAGATAATTTTTTAAAAAAAGATTAATTTGTAACGCATTAAAAAATTAAGACTCAATAACGACATCACCGATCAAAGCGATGCTCTCGATCTCGACCAAAGCATCGAGAGGCAGACGAGCTACTTGTACACAGCTGCGGGCGGGGAAGTTTTTGGAGAAAACTGAAAACAAAAAAACAAAAACAAACAAAGCAAAATTTAAATTAGTGGAGACATTTGCGTCAAGAGCGCAGAAACTGAGAGAGCAGAGACATATGTTATAATCTCATATGAAAGCGGCTGCCGTAAACAACTAAACGTCCGTAAGTCAGTCAAAACAATTGCGCTAAATGCTGTTACTATTAAACTATTGATCACACTGATAAGCTAAAGTCTATTTATTTTTCGATTTTCGGCAATTAAGCGACACTTAATGATTATTTTATAATGGCGATAAGAAAATGGTATATAAATTATACACGAGTACGTACACGTGTGAACACACCTTTTTTGTATGCCTCATTTACTGCGCCAAAGTCATTCAGATCCTTTACGAATATAGTGTTCTTGACCACATTATCCACACTCGAGCCGGCAGCTTCCAAGACAGCCACCAAGTTCTTCAAGGCCACCTCCGTTTGTTGCGTAACGCCGCCCGGCACCAGTTGCAGCGTGTCTTTGTCCAGGCCTAAGCAACCGGATACATAGACAGTGCGATCGGCAACGACAGCCTGACTGCATTGAAAGCAGATAGATAATTAATGTCGTTATACATACATAAATGCATTTGGTGGCACGCTGGTGGCCAATGCTCGCTTATAAGATTAATAATTGTAATGGCTTATTTTGACAAGTGTCAATTTATTCTGAGCGCTGGCTGGTCGCCACATATGCGCAAAAAATTATAGCAATAACTCGCTATTACATACTTGTATGGTGCCACCGGCTTTGCGGCATTGGCGGTGCTAATCAATTTCTTCACGACTCTAGACATTTTTCTGCCGCTAATTGAATATTATTTTTGTGATAATATGAACTTTGTATTTTTACGCTCTACACTTGTCGAACACTGAGTACTGACTGAATAGGCGTACACTTGTTCGCATGTGGCGCTCCAAACTATTGTCGCCTATGTGCATAAATGTGTGTGTGTTCGAGCAGTCGATTTGTTTGCTGTTGGAGACATTTGGAGAATATGATAATCTTGTTGTTGTTGATTTTTAGTTGATAACATATTTTTGCTTTATTATGCTCACCGGCGCTCATTCTCAGTACTTGTTGACTTGTTATTGTTGTTCTGAAAACTTGTTCATAGTTTATCAACACTAATCGCCAGCGTCGAGTGCCGGCATTTGGTTTGCTGGCACTTCATATGGGATCGGCTTGCTTCTTAGCTCAATATATACACTCGTAGATGTATATATGTATATGTTTGATGTTTGTGCGCTATTATGTATTCGCTAAAAATATTGTCTGTATGTTGGCTGTTCAAAACATCCTCACCCCATGCAAAGATCGACGAAGCTGGGAGCATAATTATGCCTACTAATATATAATAAGTACATTGCTATTGTTGTTGTCTTTTGTCTATGAAATTTGCGAATAAATTTACATAGAAAAGTTGCTACTAGAGGGCACAGGTGTTCGTCGTTTAACAGATTGCTTGAAGAAGATCATGCCTTATCTTCGCTGAGACGAACAAGTAATTTTTAAACGCTAACATACATACATATATGTATATAATATATATTAAATTCACTGAACTAATGACGAAAACTTTACCAATTCGAAAAGAGCTGAAAGTATCTAGTTTTTTTTTGAAATAATTGAACTTTTCTACAACTCCTACAACCTCATGATAGTGGATAAGAGAGGTGTTTTCAAATCGTGTTTGAGCCAACGTAAGTCTGCTGAGCTCTGCTCTAAACAGTTCAAACTTGATATTAACGACAATTTCCCGCAGGCGCCATACATTTTATTAAGAACGTTGTACCAAATGCATTTACGGATTGTTCGAAATGAGTTAAGTGGTCACCGCATCGTCTCTTTATCTACACGACGTTAAATACGGTATTTAAAAATGGCATATGCTTCATTATTATCCCCTTTGCATATAGCAAAAATTACAAGTCCAGTCCTATATTAGAGGGTCTGCAAATATTCTACAATGTGTGAACTGAGCCTCAGAGAGAGATTACTTGAACTTTTTATTCCGTTATCTCTCTGAAGATATCTTTCTTTAGATATCTCTCTGAAAGCATAATAGAAAATATTTAAGTGTGTTATTTCATCCCTCCAAAAAATCGAGTTTTCCTGGAAAAAGATGCCTAAGTCGACAGGTGTCGAATAAAAACGCAATGCGACGAAATTTTATTGCGTATTATCCAAAGCGTTTTCAAGCTTTGAATGGAAAGCGTTAATAGAATATTTCGGAAAATTAATGATTAATTTTTACTTTTCTTTCTTAAAGAGTCGTTCAAGAATATGATCGAACTTTATGACTAACTAAATTTAATTTGAGATTATTTTCTGAGAGAGATCTTCTAAGTGGAGAACTGAAAATAAGGAATTTATTGTTTAAATTGTACGATTATTATAAATAATCAGTCGATAGGTCCAATACATATATTATATATAAATGAAACAAGTACGATTGATGTAACTATGTATAATATTATTCCGAATACACAAGACAGGTTTTAATTAGCGTTATTTACTGGTTTCGCTTAGAAAGTTATCGGGATACTTAGTAAATACTCGAATCGAAATCTAAAAACAAAATTAGAAGGAAAACCTGCCAACAATCGTCAAATCACCGTGGAATAATTGCATTCCACCATTAAACGGTACAATATTCAGCAGATCAGCTGATGAATGACTTAGTAGTAATTTACAGCTAATCGTTTATGCTGCGGTGCCAAAATCGTGTCAAATTGAACGAATTCGTAAAACATTGCAAGCGCTGCTACATAGTCTGCCCCAACACTCAGAATGAGTTTATAAATTTTTCAAGGCCAGACCCTTTTACCCAGTCAAATTGCAGCATTTAGTAAATAATGCATGGCCATTAAATGCCAGACAACACAAAGCACACGCACCTACACACAAGCATGCATAGTGTGGCTGCACAAATAACAACCTGTATAACGTTGTGGCAAGTAGATAAACAGCGAAAAATAAATAACTGCATGTTCGTTGCAGCTAGGTAGACAAACAAAAATTTATGCAAATGCAACAAATAGTCGAAGATGCAAAGCGTCTGTTGCCGGCAATGCGCTGAAAATTTGCATATATGAGCGCATAATTGTGTGCAACATAAAGTTGCAACAATACCCGAGGAGCGCTATGGCGCAAGCAATGCAATGCGAATGCTAGCGACGGCAAAGGAATGACAGCAACAGCAGCCATCAGCCAGCAGCAACAATAAAATTGTAATATAACAGCTGTAACAATAACAACAACTACAACAGTAGCGTACATAACAATAGCAACAAGCTGGCAACTGGTAAACGACACGAGTTGTACTACAATAGATTTTGCTGTTGTCATTTGTTTGACTAGGCAAACGCACACATGCACACACCACTGCATATGTACATATGTATGTATGTATGTATAGGCATAATGGCAACATAAGCCTTTGCGAAAATGTTGCCAGCAAATAGAATAAGCCAATTGTTTTGCTGCGGTTGTTAATATTACTGTTTATCAGTTGTTGTTGTTGTTGTTATTATTGTTGGCATTGTAGTTGTCGTTGTCGCTGTTTACTTGTACGACAACAATAAGTGCGCACACCTCCCAAACTTAGGCTCACATGCATGCCCCTGCACTCGCACTAAACATTTGTATGCGCAACATTTTGTACAACACTTGCAACACTTACGTGTATTGTTGTTGTTGGTGCAACTGATGTTACTACGATGAAGCATCGCATTTTTGCTTGCCTTATTTTTTCCGTGGCATGTATGCAATTTACCCGCCACACGTAATAAGCAGCGTCAAATGTTTATAAACATAGTCGGCGGATGTTGCGGGGAGCTGATGCGATTTTGAGCAATTTATTTCGGCTTAAGGTCAGACAAAACTTTATACACTTACTATGTATATGGATGTATGCACTTGCACACCTACACACTGTGTCATGACTCAGCGCATGCTCATAAATAGTAAGTGTCTAGCAACAAATGTTGCTTGTTGTCAATTGTCATGTTGAGAATGCCAGCAACATTTTATTACTGCTGCTGCTACTTTTAAGCATTTTTATTACATAATGCGATTTGCATTTGTTTTTTTTTTTATATTTTCTATACGTATTCTATTGTATATCACTTGTTGTTGGTGGTGTTGCTGGTTGTGGCAAAGTGTTGGCGGAAATCCGAGAATTGCGGTCTTAAAGCCAAATGAATTATGATTTTCTAGCGCTTCGCTCAAGTTTTGACTGAAATGAGTGCATTAAAAAATAATAAAATCTATATAATTTGTTCTTCGTATAGATTTTAGCATAATATGTCTGTTTATATAGGTCAACGTCGCTTTCTCTCTTCAATGTTTATATGTACTATGCGGCTTTACCCACCCTTCAGTTATTTGCGCACGCAATCCTTCAAAGCTCTGTGTCTGGTATGCATTTAATAGCATCGAGGAGTTGCTGAAGAAAGTAAATAATTATTTCATTCCCAAAAAAAAAACGGTTATCCTCCTTCAACTCAAACGCAAATATTTGATTTACAGCTCTTTTACGTTGAAGCCGTCAACATTGGTCGGAAATGAAGAAAAAAGACACGGCTCAAAGATGGCACAGTGGTTCATTTCTATTGCACGAATATATACAAGATAAATTCATTATTTAATGAATGGAAAAAGTTACTTCTACTATACGTACCTCTGCGTAAGTATATTTCCGCTGCAGTCATACCCTAAAGCTTTTGCCGCAGCGGCGTATGAGTGATGTTTTTTTTTCAAAATATTCTTTTATTTGTGAAATAATAAGTTAAAGGATTTCGTTGAATTAAATGCATATAAACAACTCACTAAGCATATGATGATTGTCAAAACTATCACTGTGGCATTTAGTCGTTAATTTTTATTAATTTTCTGTTTCTTTATTTTTTCGTAGATTCACTCTTTGTGAAAACGCTCTCATTGAATTTTCAAAATTTATTTGAGCTAACAATAAACTGCTAGTAAAGTGCAAAACGAAGCTATTCAAAGTGTCATACTAAATAACAACCTTCAGTCAGTCACATACGTTAATTACTCAAAACCCCACACTTTAAATTTCAACCACATACGTTAACTTCTCTTTAGGTGATCAATAACTGAAATATAACATTCATGATGTGATGTGGTCTACTTAAACCATTAGTTACCTCTCAAATATATTTTTGCTATCTAGTTATTCACTCGTTTGCTAATTTTCTGTTAAAAAGCAGAGTGCTGCCAAACAACTGATACAGTGCTTCCAAACAAATACAATTTTCAACAGATCCATTTCTGTGCTGCTAATTTGTTGCACTTCTGGTATAACGTGTTCGATTCAATACTCTCAAATGCTTGACGAATCGAAGGCAGCTACTGATTAAGTACTGTCACATTATCATCACCACTGAAGTTTTTGCATATATTTATAGATATAGATACACTTTCCATTATTACAAAATTTATTTTATATAAACTAAATGCTTTATGAGTACAAATAACTTTGAGCCACTGTTAAACTGTCGCCACAATCACAATATTTTTGTTTTTGATTTTTACTCGCCTGCTGCTTGCCAAAGTAAACATCACGTCAACACGCTGACGCCCCAATGGCCTGGGCAAGCAAGCCTACCGAAAAGTCAGCCATAAAAAGCTTCGGTTTGTGCATGTGCAACATTGCAGTTTTCAGTTTTCAGATTACGGATTTTGGATTTTCAACACTGCAGAAGACTAATTATTTATTATTTGGCAATTGAGCATGTCAGACGATGCCATATAAAATTCCCAAATTCAAACAAAATAAAATAATTACACGTTGGCAGGCAGTGACGTTGCCAAAGCAAAGAGCAGTTGAAAGCAAAAAATATATACAACAAAAGTATAAACATACATTGGTGAATGATCGCAAAGAGATCGAGCATGCAAGAAAATAAACAAACATTCAAAGTGCTTTAACATTAAAAACTAACATACATACAAACAAACACATATTATAGTCGTTGGTGCGGCTAAACGTTGCAACTGACGTTAACGCCACCAACACCAGCGCAACCATCGCATCCCACATAAAGAACCACAAACGACAACAGCGCTCGTTCGTCAGTTGTGCGGTCGCTGTGCAACGCTGCGTCTGGGCTGATCTGTCGGTCGGTCAGTGGGCGTAGGTGAAACGAATAATGCGGAATACACTTAAGTAATGCCACACTACCAGCCAAGAAAAAGAACTGCATGCCGCTGTAACACACCCAGTAAAAAATGCGCAAAGAATTAAAAAATCCCCCAGAGCATTCGTCTCGACGTAAACGTACAACAGGTACAACACGCAACGCAAACCGACAGCCAACCGGTGATGGAGTGAATTGGTGACGTAGGCGCAGCAATTGCAATCGGTTGCAAGTGCTTTTGTTCTCCACTGCAGTGTGGTGTGATATGGTGTTGTGTGGCATGTGGCAAAACTAAATGCACGCCGTAAGTGGGTAATGGAGAGATGGTATAAATGGCATAAAAATGTTTATTGAAGCAGCGACCACGCACTTTTCTCGCGTAAATACACTGTGAGGAGAAGCAAACTAATTCTTTAACTCATCCGAAAAATTCCTCATCCGGAGATCAGCAAGATAGGCCTTCATGGCAGCGATAGTGTTATTTGACTAAAATTTTTGCCCTCCGAGTGTTTTTTTTTCAAGTGGGAAAAGCGTAAGACCAAATCGAGAAAGTTCAGTGGTTGGGACAACAGTAGCGAAAGTTCTGGGGTCACATCCATTTGTATTCTTATGATGGAAAACCATTTATTTCTTCGGTAAATAGGTTAATTTTTTCTTTCCTCTTCCAGGCAGTTATAGATCACGCCTTGTGAATTCCAGAAAACTTTCCGACTTATAGAGCAGTTTTCACCTGCGAAACCCCTTGTTTCGACTGCCCCTCAATCTCTATTGTATACCGATGGATTCATGTTTACTCGAAGATCTCGCAACGACGCAGAAACTATTTCGGTTCGAAGCGACAAGCACTTCTGTGTTCTGGTTTAAAGTAAACAAACGCGACCTCCATCGCGTCGATAGTGCTGTCAAGCTCAATATTAAATACAAAATGTGACCCACAAGGGTAAAGCAATTCTAGAAGTCTAATTAGGTTGAAATTTAAATAGTTACCAATATCTATATAACATAGACAGCGAACTTCTTTCGCGAGAATGGCGGCTTCGGATGGTGTCACTAAGTACTTATCGGGCCAGCCTCGTTGCCTTGTCTATTATATGTTCTCACACCAGATCCTATCGAACGAGCAGAGTCTGCTAAAATCTTGTTAATACTATATGAAGCAACAACAAGAAATTCTCATGAACTCACAAAAATTTTGCTCAGTGCTTGGTGCCTCCTCTCTGCGCAGCGCTGCATACAGTTAGCGTTACGCATTTCCTGAACAACCTACAATTTCTCCAAAACCATTCAAATAACTTCGTTCCCCTCAAACACACACACACACACGCACTTTTAGTGTATTGCTTTTCTTTGAAAACATTACCTTTGTGTATGTGACGTTGCGGCTTTGTTGTTGGGTGTCGCATTTTTGCGAATTAATTACTTCATACGAGGATGCATTTCATCAAGCGCTCCAAAAAGATCATCCTGAAGCGTTCGCCACTCGAAGGCACATACACACACACACACACACGCCGAGCCTTAGCCACATACGACAGCGGCCTCATTTCGAATTTTATGAGCATTTTACCTGCCAGCGGTAAAAAGGATAAATTAAAAGCTTTTGTGTGTGCAGTGCGTGGTATGCGCACATGCGTGCCTGCATGCAACGGATCGTTCGTGCGACGTCAATGGCAAAGTCGAAATTAAATCATTTAAGCGTGAAAGCATTGGGATTTGAGCTGCCAGCCGAACGCAGAAGGCAACAGCGAAAAGAAAAGGCAGAAAAGGTGTAGCTAAGAAGAAATCAAAAACGGATATACAAACATATACTATATGCGACTGTAAGTAAGTACGTGAAACGTGCAGCCTGACATGAGCCACATCAAAATCCAACTCATTGCTGTGCTTTTTGCGGCTTAAACGAATGAGCGCATCACTGTTGCATGCAACATCAACTGCAAACAACAACAGGCCCTTGTAGACAGTGAAGAAGTCTTATTTTTATTTCCACTTCTTCTTCTTCTTCTTCCATTGCTATTGCCACATTGTGGGGGTGTAATCAAGCGCATTTGATGCGCGGAAATGTTGCGCATTATTTAGGATTAAAGATATCATTTCGCGCGCGCGCCGCAAAAAAGTGTAAAAAAATTGGACCTGCCCATGTAAATATGTTTGAGAGCTAAGCTGTATACGAAAGTGTTGCAACAACAGTTCATTGCTTTTTGTTTTTGCGTGTAGGTGTTTGTCAAAACTACTACTACAAAAGAAAATGTAAATAATTAAAAACCCTGTTACAGTAGACATTGAATTTATATTTTGGGGCATGGCTGCTCCTTTTTTTATTTTTAAGTTCTGAAAGAGTTTGAAGAAACTTTAAATATGGGAAACAAGCATGGCTAAAGTCTGACTTTTGTGTTACAACAAATTTTATTCAAACTGTTCAACTAGTTGCTGAAATATGGAGCTTTACTTAAATATAGGCAGTGTCACGCCCATCATCTAATGCTTAAAACAATTCTTATTCAAGTCAGCTGTACTAGCTTTACGGTTAAAATTAATGCTTCTATTTTTTACTAGTCAGCAATAGTACTTTTAGTAGTTTTGAAAATAAACGTTATAAGTGAGATGGGCAGGGTTAGTTTCCGATCTAACATATTTTTCACACGGTATCACGAGGCTAGAAAAAACTGCTTCCAATATGTTGATTGATACAGCATGGGTAGTTTGGGATATATGACACATACATTCAATTTGATGAGGTCGATGCCACGCCCATTTTTTAGAAACCACTAAACCACAACTGCATTATCAATTTCGTCAGGGTACTAAAGAACACGTAAACTATGTTTCATCATGCTGCCCAATTTTTTTCTTAAGTTGTCGTTAGCATGGACAGGCAGACGGAGAGATTGACGCCCAGAAATTTTGATATACTCGTATAAGAACACATATATAGGCAAACTCAAAATAAGCCCGCAAAATTTCCAAATATTTCGGCTAGCTTTTAGAGAAGATTTTGGACCTAACGAGTATTTTTGTTGCGAATCGTATGAACTAGTCGGAACTTATGCATCAAAGCAAAACTAGAATATAAACAGTGTACTTCTATACCTACCTTTGAACCATTTTTCGAAATGTGACAAAAGATTTACTTTGTATGTTAGTTTGAAGATCTATGGTTCGACACCCGGTGAAAAATTCCATAAATTGAATTGTATAACGCTAAAAATATGACAGCCTTTGGTCGGATATCAGAACGTATACGCTTCGAACGCAGAATGTAACAGCTGTCTGACGCTGAAAGACATCAAAAATAGGCTATTTCGGGAAAAAATATCAAAATGTATACAAAAAGATTTTGAATGACCGTAAAATGAAGTTGGTCGAAATAGCTGACACCCTAAAGATATCAAAGGAACACTTGAAGTTATCCTTCATAAATATGTTAGCATGCCAAAGGTCGGTGAAAAGTGTGTGACGCGCACAATCGACCGTTATGTCGGGTCACAAATCAATAAAAACGATGCCAAAATTGCAAGATT